CCTTGAGAATCAACATTCTTGCTGGGAGCAAGCTGGTGGGAGACGGGCGTTGCTTCCCAAGGGCCCTGGATGAAGCCCTCGGGTCATGGTCACCATCCCAACCCGCTGGGACTAGTACACACATGCTTTGCCGCTTGTTGTTTGGCCTGGTTGCTGTGCTGTAGTGGTCATGTCGGGCAGGCCATCCCTATGAGGGAGAGACGAGTACCGGACCGTCTATAAAGAGACTCCGGCGGGGATATGACTTGTGTTGTGTGCGAGTATAAAAATAGTACGGTGGGGGCTGGGCAGTTCTGATTGACTTGGGGCACAGGAGTGGGCCGATTGCACACCTTCAGACACGCCACTGAACCAGAGCTTCAGGACGTTGACACAAAGTGATTACTCAAGAGGGATACAGGGGGAGAGAAGATTCCAGTAAACTGCTCGATTGTTAATCATTGTATATTTCCATTCTGCATACACACCAACAAATGATTTTATTTTTATTTTTGATTAGTTAGTTGCTACAGACTTTCCTGACAACTAACAGACGGTTGCAGATAGAGTAGTGAATATTCTAGGCTGCATTGCAATATGTTTCAGACTAGTCAAAAGTAGGAATATAATTGTTTGTAGGAATCTGAGATTATCTGCTGTTACCGCTTGACTACTTTCTGACGAAGCTGGAACGAATATTTATTTTATTTGATTTTATTTTAAAAACCGGTTTGGTGTCGTGCTGCGGTAGGTCCCAGCGAGGACACCATTGCAGATCGCAGGCCACATGTAGCTCATGAGTGGAGATGACAGTGAGGTTAAGGAACTAGACCAGGACGATAGGAGGCTTACCCATAGACTTGCACTCAGTCGGCCGACCACTTTCCTAGTGTTAGAACAAGGAGAGGAAAGGAGACTGCAGAGAGAAGCCAGAGAGAGGAGAACATTGCAGAGGGGTAGGGAAGCTGCAGCCAGTGCAGAAAGGGCACTAGCTGCAGGCAGCAGACACTAGAGCCAACGCCGAGGCAGCCATGGCTACCGCCTCTACAATGTCACAGGCCACATCTCAAGCCTCTTTGTCAGGTGTCAGTCCGGGGATGACCCAGCCTTTTGTTAGTCAGTCTGTTGGCCTGCAGGTCAGCCAGCAGCAACCCATGTTAGATGAGGATTTTGAGATCGCTGAAACAAATGCCCTCCACGCAGAACTACAACGCCAGTTGCAGGAAGTAGAGGAGAGGAGAGACAGAGCTAGAATTAGAAAAGCCAGATTAGGGGCAAGGATGCAGGAGCTAAGAGGTCTGGAGGCCATAGATGAGTCAACTCTGTTGTGAGGTCTCTTCGGAACTCCCTGTTGAGTGTGGCCGAAGCACAGGCCGTGCAACAGGAATTGTTGGCCGATCTGGTAGCCGGCCAGAACCAGATATTGACTGCGGTACGAGCACCTCCACCTATGGTGAGGCTACCGCAGGTTTCTGTAGCTCTCGCTATGGTTGCAGGTCCCGCATTGACGCTGCCACCAGCGGGACCATCCTTTACCCCACGGTTTAGCATGCCCATTTCAGGCGGTTTAGCAACGGGTAGTAGTGGGCAGATTCCGGTACCTCCTTCACTTCCCCATCCAGCGGCCGCTGCTATAGGGTACCCGCATGTACAACAGCCTTTGTAACAGTTATCGCCGCAACAGCAAGCACAGGGTGTTGTACACTCTATGCAGTGGACACCCAAGATACCCTTGTTGAGTCCTAAACGGTCTAAACCCTTCTTTGACAATAAGAAGGAAGAGGACTTGGATACCTGGGTGAGGACTGTGCCTACATATGTGAGGCACAAGCTCACAAGGACCGAGGAAGAGGTCATTGTCACTGCATCCTTCCTAGAGGGATCTGCAGCCAGATGGTTGAACGGGTTAGTACAACAACACATATATGGTTAAACCTTCGAAGGCTGGGCACAGGCCAGATCATTGGAGGAGTTCGTACGGCTAGTCTACAACAAGTGGCACGTCTGCCTACAGATGCCAAAAATAAGTTGGTCGATGCGCCCTCCATAGATGTGGATGACTTTGCCTCGTTCAGCAAGACAGCCCTAGACATAGAGGTTAGGCTTGGGAGTGTCCAGCACGGACAAGCAGATGGGAGGAAGAAAAAGCTTCCTTAGGATTGGAGGAAGAACGACAATCTTATGTTCGTTGACCATGACGACCAAGCGACTGAGATGACGACTTCTCTAACCTTGGGGAAGAGGCAGAGGTGGATGGCAGTGGGGAGATTTCAGAGGGTGGAGTAGTTGCTCGCATAAGAGAAAAGGCTAAGGGGGTCGGGAAACAGAAGGTAGGCCGGCCGAAGGGTCAAGGTGACCAAGGACTACCCATATGGGTTAAGCTTGGTCTAGAGTACGAGGTGTGGCGAGACCGTGTTGCACGAGGCGCTTGTTTCAATTGTGGCCAGTATGTGCACTCAATGAGCAAGTGTAAGAGTAAGTGGGTCGTTGGGAATGTAGCGCCCTTTATAGTAACAACTAGATCTTCCAACTCTGGTGGTGCTTCTGCGAGCACTTCCCAGGGAAACACCTCGGGCAAGTAGGAGTGTTAGCCACTCTTACGCGTGCTGAAGTGGTTACCTTGCCCTCTCCATTTCAGATGATGGCCATGGCCAAGGCTATTAACCACTTGATCGCCCTGCAAATAGATCCAGACCAATCGATACTCTGCTCGATGGATGTGTCTGGAGCTGGAGATTGGGTGTTTAGAGTGACCCTAAAGACTCCTGGGGGATGTTGAACAACGGTCTAAAGGGTGAACGCTTTGTGGTAGAAGTCGATGTAGGTGGCTAGAAAATTGGAGCCTTCGCAAACATAGGTTCTACGCGAAACTTCATCAGTGGTGCTTGTGTGCATAGGTTGCGCTTAGCGGACCAAGTGCAGCGGCTTAGCAGGTCTGTAGCATCTACCTTAGCCAACAAGCACTCCATGATAGTCAAAGACTATATCAAGGATGTAGTCGGTACCTTCTCCTATAGAGGCGGGAACTGAGACACAAGATCTCATTCCTAGTGCGCGATGAGCTGCCATTTGACATGTTGCTAGGCATGTACTACCTTGAGTTTGCTAAGCCTCAGTTCGATTGGGATAGGAAGGTAATGATTCACAAGTTGCCAAATGGAAGGATCGTTAGGCTGTAGAAGTTCAAGGCTAGCAGCCTAGTGGAGAACTATGGTTGCATGTACGTGTCGTCTTTCTACGACTACTAGAAGTAGAATCGTGAGAAAGGTATGTACCTAGTCTTTGTTTCTGAGAAAAGGGGGGGTCGTAAAGTCACCCCCAGAGGAAGCAGTCGTTGCACAATATTCAGACCTCGTTGAGGAGCCTAAGGGGTGTGGTAGAAAGGGAGGTTCTCCACGCAATTGAAGTTGTTCCTGGTAGCAAGGTACGTAGAGGGCGAATATACAGGATGTCTCCTACGAAGTTAGATGAGCTCCGCCGCCAGCTCAAGGAGCTCATAGAGAAGGGTTGGATCTGGCCAAGTAAGTCCCCCTACGGTGCGCCAGTCTTATTTGTCCCATAGAAAGGGAAGACCCTAAGGATGTGCATTGACTATAGGGGCCTCAATCCCATCACTGTTAAGAACGCGGAGTCCCTACCACACATCGATAACCTCTTGGATAAAGTGCAGGGATGTTGGTACTTCACAAACATAGATTTGAAGTCCGGATACCATCAGATTGCCATTAGACCCGAGGATCAACACAAAACTGCTTTCCCGACCAGGTACGACCTGTACGAGTTTGTAGTGATGCCCTTTGGTCTATGCAATGCTCCTCGGATATTCCAGCATGCAATTCACCGGATCTTTCATGACTACTCACACAAGTTTATCGTCATGTACCTCGACGGTATCCTTATCTTTAGTAGGACTGTAGAGGAGCACATTGAGCACGTGAAAATTGTGCTGGGGCTCCTAAGACAGCACCAGAACAAGGTTAACTTGGAACAATGCGAATTTGGTCGCACCAAGATCTTGTATTTGGGTCATGAGATCTCCGCGGATGGTCAGAGGCCGGATGATGCAAAAGTGGCCAGCGTACGTGACTGCCCAGAGCTCAGTTTGTGATTGAGGTGAGGTCATTTTTTGGGATGACGGGCTACTACCGCCCGTTTGTGAAAAACTATAGTACTATAGCTTCCCCTCTAGCTGACCTCACGTGCCTTGACACCCCAAGGCAGTGGACCGAAGAGTGCAAGGCATCCTTCAAGAGATTGAAGTATGCCCTGACGCACTATGAAGTCCTCAAACTTTCCGATCCTAGACTGTCCTTTGTAGTGACCACAAACGCCAGTCAATATGGCATAGGCGCTGTCCTTGCGCTGGAGGGGAAAAAGTTGAGGCCGATCGAGTACATGAGCAAAAAGATGCCATCTCGAGAACTAGCTAAGTCTACATATGAGCAAGAGCTCTATGCCCTCTATAGAGCGCTGGTCCGCTGGAGGCATTACCTCCTAGGCAGATTCTTATATGTGAGATCTGACCATGAGACATTGTGCTGGATTAAGATACAGCCCGTGCTCTCCGATGCACTCAAGAGGTGGATTGAAGTCATAGATAGGCATGGCTTCAAGCTCGACTCTCTGAAGGGAGAATACAACAAGGTGGCTGATGCACTATAATGCAGGGCAGACTATCTGGGCGCGCTAGTGACTGAGTTTGGGATAGCTAATGATGTAACTCGATCTATGGTGGAAGCCTATCAAGAGGACCCGATAACGTCTGAAACCGTGCACAAACTAGTGGCCAAGGATAACGCCACATCTAATGAGTTTGTGCAGGTTGATGGCTTACTGTTCCTTGAGAAGGTTGGGAATAAACGTTTGTGTGTTCCATGTAGAGAGTCTTTGCGTAGTTTATTTTTAGGCGAGTGCCACGACGCGACTGGACATTTCGGTTATAGAAAGACAACAGCGGGGGCGGTCTGGAGGTCCTCAATGGTCGGGTGGCACGATCCTGGCGTTCCGTCCTCATAAGGTGGGTGGTGTTGAGGTCCTCAATGGTGAATTGGGAGGGGTCGAGAGAGGTAGTGTCGAAGTCGTCATCGGAGGTGCGTTTAGTGGTGTCGTTATGGAAAAAGAGGGGGCGGGAGGGAGCAGGCGCGGACTGGTGATGGGGGTGGAGGAGTCAATCGTGGTGAAGCATGCGAGAGAGGAGGCCAGCAAGGGGCATGTCGAGTTAGTGGGCGAGGGCGGTTGCAAGGTCTTTGTGGCATACTCGCTTGATGTGGGAGATGAACGCAAAGTCGGGAATGACGGTGGTGGGGAGGTGATGGCGGAGGGAGAAGATGTATTGGACGAAGTGGTCCGTGGGACCGGTCTGGCGGAGGTGACATAATTGTTCGAGGTAGTAATCGATGGTTTTCTAGGGGCGGAAGGTGGCAGTGAGAAGGTTGGCCCATTGGAGGAAGGAGTGACGCGGTCCTCCGGAGGCGCGGCGGTTGTTGACTTCGGCCATCCACCATTTGGCGACATTGGCGAGGAGGCGGGAGGTGACAATGGAAAGCCAGTGGACAAGGGGCATGTGGTGGAGGAAAACATCCTCATGGGGAAGGCCGGAGAAGGACATGATGTCGGCGGATCGGAAGGAACGGGGGATTTCCCCTTCGCGGGAAACGATCCGGGCGAGGGTGTTGAAGTTGAGGTTATCAGGGGTGGTGTCGTAGCAGGTGTAATCGAATTGGCTGTTGTCATCAAGGAGGTAGTTGGGGGGAAGTTGTGGCATTGCGGGGTAAACCCCGGAGGTGACTTGGGAATAGGTGGGACGAAGGGTGGGGATGGTGGAGGTCGTCATGATGGGTTGGGGAATGGTATGAGAGTGCGGGGGGGGAAGAGGGGTGATGTGAATATGCGAGGAATGAGGCGGTGTGTTGGATGCGTCGGATGAGGGAGGAGGTGGGGGGAGCGAAACGGTGGTGGATGATGAGGACGGGGGAAGGGTTGAGGAGGAAGGGTTGGGGGATATGGTGGTAGAGGTGGTAGGAGTGGAGGAGGTTAGAGGGGGGGTGTTGCTGGAGGCGGCTGTGGAGGAGGGAGTGGTGTGCGCTGTGGAGGAGGGAGGTGCGACGATGGTGACGACCGTGATGGAGGGGTTGTTCCCTTCGAGCGTGGTGACGTTGTCGGACATGGTGGCCTTTATGTCGTTGAGAGAGGCGATGACGGAGGTTTGGAGGGTGTTGAGTGTGTGGAGGATGGCGGAGAGGTCGGGGGTGGCGGTGTTTGCTGGTGGTTGTTCACCTGCGAGCTTGCGGGCGATGCTATCGACTGAGTCGACATGTTGATGGAGGATGCGGCCATGTCGGGGGAAGAGGGGGCGGAGGACGTGGCCGGAATGGATGTGGAGGATGCAGCAGCAGCGGTGGCGGCGGCAGCAGCGGCGGTATTGGCGGCGGCGCGTTGGGAGTTCTTGGTTTGGCGTGGTGGCATGTGGAGATGGGGGGGCCAATCCCTTATTTATTTATCAATAAATTCAAAAATAATGATAATTGCCAAGATTTCTGGAAAGTAGGGAAATATTGAATAAAGAAATTATTCCAATGGGAATTTTATTTATTCGAAACTAATTCGGGTAGAACAAAATTTTGAAGGATCCGAAGGACATTTACAAAATTCGTTGTTCAAAATATTGGAAGAAAATAAATTTGAATTTATTTCAAAATTTATTTATGCAAGGAACATGAATGTGGACAAAGCAAAGAAATCCCAATTGCAAATCACACTGAAGTCTGAGTAGTCAAAGCAAGAGCAGATAACACATTGGGACCAAGCAACCATCCATTTGAGAACGATACAGCAAAAGTCGCGAGTCAATGTCCAAGCCCAATCGGGCAACACCAACAACATAACCCGAAGTATCCCTCTCTCTTGAATGGCGCCAAGCGCCCTATCTACTCTACAGCCTATCCTACAACTACAGTCATGGAAGCAACCAGACGACTTGACGACCAGCCAATGATGACGTCAACACCAATGTCGACCTCCTCTCCTACCTGGTACGTCACTCTCTCTTGTCCCTCACTCTCCCTTGTTATCCCACACAGCGCCCTTCACTTCCCGAGGAACCACCCTCGCCCTCACCTCCTCCAGCGCCCTCATGCAGCCCTTCTATGGCTGCCAGCGCCCTGCGCCCAGGCTGCGTCCTACTGCTTAGCGCCAACTTGCCTTCCCTCAGCCTAGCGCAGCGCAGCACCTCGCAAATGCGCAGCGTGCCGGCCTTGCTCGCAATGGCCAAGATCCATATCTACTCGCCTGTTCTGCCTATATGCCAGTGTTGCGTGTGGGCGGCCTCCCTTAAGCCTGTGCCTGGGCCCCAGTACCTGTACCCCGGCCCAATGCGGTTGGGGCCCATGTTATACAGTTGCGCCTCTTCATCAAGGCCTGCGTCCAGATTCAGATAGTGGACCGGTTTCCCATTGCGATTTTCGACCTTTATGTCCAGCATGCAATGTCGGCCTCACGTTTATGCGCCCAGGGCCTAACCAATTATGGGGCCCCTGGTCCTTCTGCATTTGCAGAGATCTGGTACTCGGTGCACTCCAACGAACTGGCGTGCAGCAACTGTATAGACCCCACTTCGTGAAATGTTGAAGAGAAAGGGGCTCTCGTTGATTTGCTGGCCCGCCTTCACTTAGGGCGGGCACGAGGCTTGCTGGGGGCCTTAGCCCAGAACATGTACATCACCGCAAGGCCCCATTTGAGGGCTCAATCCTCACATTCCATCCCCCTTAGCTTCGAAAGTTCGCTGAGATGCTTACTTCGCAGGTGCCTTCCCCTTTAACTGTCTTTCGTATTCTGCGACCACCTGAGGAGCTGTTTCAACCCGTTCCTCTCTGGTGAACCACCGATCTTCTTTTGGATCTGTGTGATGCCTGAATCTGACTTTGTACTCTCTTCTGGGTTTAGGAGGTCTTCCTCGGCCCAGAGGTCTTGGAACAGGCATGTCTCTGTGTTCCAGAATGTCGTCGATGTCCACGTGGCCATCCATGGTTGGGGGCAGCATTGATCTCCGTGAAGGAAATTGATCTGTCTCAGCGAAAGGTGCAAGCTTTGAGGCGTGAAAAACTGGGTAAATCTGCAGGTGACCAGGGATACGGATAACATAGGAAGGGCCATCCAAACCATCCTCAACTATGTCTAAAACTTCCCAAGGACCGAAATACGGTGGCATTAGTTTTCTAAAGATGCTGAATTCCTGTCCTAACTCACTAGCCTTCACCCAGACACGTTCCCCTACCTGTAATGTGGACTATCGACGGTGTTTGTTCTCAGAGGCAATCATTGCTTCCTAAGACTTCTTAATGTGCTCGACAGCTTGCTGCAACAGTTTCTCGTACTGTACCCCATATTCTATTGAACCAGGGTTTGCAGCAGGTTTGTTTTCAGGCAGGAGGAAGTCCAGAGCTGATCTACGCTTCCATCCCAAGTGCAGCTGATTGGGACTGACGTCGGTACTGCTGTGCACAACGTTGTTGTATAGGCTGGTGATGAGAGGCAGTTTCTCATCCCAGTCATCCTGGCTGGGCTTGATGTAATGTCTCAGCAGGTGTTGTACAACTCTGTTCATCTGCTCGGCCTGTCCGTTGGCTTCGTGATGATTCCCGAAGGTCATCTGAAGTTGACTGCCCAATCGTTCTGCAGTCTTCTTCCACAACTCACTTGTAAAGCGGACATCCCTATCAGTAACGATAGTCTTAGGTAACCCAAAATCACGCACCCAGTTGTCCATGAACAACTTGATGACGTGCTCGGTCCTCGCAGTTTGTGGCATTGCGATCAGTCTAGCGTACTTGGTGAACCGGTCTACAATGACAAAGATGTGCCTTTTGCCGCTTCTGCTGGTCACCAGGGTGACACACTCTATCTCGGGCCAGCGGGGATGGGCAACGACTTCAGCAACCCAAGTGGTGCTTGAGTTCTGGGCTTGTCCCGCTGACAGACCTGACAGGTCTCTGCACATACCTCTTTGCATCATCAAGCATTCCAGGCCACCAAAATCGCTGTACCAGGTTTGCACTGGTCTTTTTATAACCAAAATGTCTCGTTGCATCATCACTAGATGGAATAACTAGTCTTTTAAACCCGGCCTTTTCGAGAAAGAGTAGCTCGTCCACCATCACAAACTCATCTTTTGTGGCCTTATCTTTTGCCTGCAGTTTGCGTATGATGTCCATCGTGACAGGGTCTTCCTGATAGGCTCCCACAAGCGATTGAGTTACTTCCTCAGATATGCCAAATTCGGAAACTAGCGCCCCTAGGTAGTCTGCCCTACGTGACAGCGCATCTGCAACCGTGTTGTACTCTCCCTTCAGATACTCCAGTTTGAAGTCATACTGATCTATGACCTCAATCCAGCGCTTGAGTGCATCAGAAAGAGCAGGTTGAGTCTTGATCCATTTAAGGGTCTGATGGTCAGTTCTCAAATAGAAAAACCGTCCCGACAAAAAGTGCCTCCAATGGACAAGTGCCTTGTAGAGAGCATAGAGTTCCCTTTCGTAGGTGGACTTTGCCAGTTTCTTTGATGGGATTTTCTTGCTCATGTACTCAATCGGTCTCAACTTCTTCCCATCCTGCTGAGCCAGCACTGCGCCAATGTCGTATTGGTTTGCGTCAGTGGTCACAATGAAAGGCTTCTGAGGATCGGGCACCATGAGAACCTCATGATTCATGAGTGCATGCTTCAATCGTTTGAAAGCAGCCTCGCACTCATCACTCTAGTCCCACGGTGTATCAAGTCGAGTTAGATCAGTCAAAGGAGAGGCGACTGTGGAATAGTTTTTCACGAAGTTCCTATAGTAGCCACACATCCCTAAGAAAGATTTGACCTCAGTAACAGTCTAAGGTCATAGCCAGTCCCTAATACTAGCCACCTTCGCATCTTCTGGCCTAACGCGGATACCTCATGACCCAAGTACAAGATCTTAGTGCGTCCAAACTCACATTTCTCTAGGTTGACCTTATACTTGTGTTGTCGCAGGAGTGAGAGTACAGTTTCTAAGTGTTGTGCATGCTCCTCGACAGACTTACTAAAGATAAGAATATCGTCAAGGTACACGACGACAAACTTATCCAAGTAGTCATGGAAGATCCTATTCATAGCGTGCTGGAATGTACCCGGCGCATTGCAAAGGTCAAAGGGCATCACCACAAACTCGTACAGGCCGTATCTGGTTTGAAATGCAGTTTTGTGCTGATCCTCAGATCTTATCGCAATCTGATGGTAGCCGGACTTTAAGTCTATCTTGCTGTAGTACTTACATCCCTGCACCCTGTCCAATAGGTCGTCTATGCGAGGTAGAGGCTCTGCGTTCTTCACTGTGATGGCATTGAGGCCTCTGTAATCAATGCACATCCTCAACGATCCCCCCTTCTTCGGTACAAACAGCACTGGAGATCCGAAGGGGGAATTACTCGGCCGTATCCAACCCTTTTCTGTCAGCTCTTTCAGTTGTCGCCGGAGTTCGTCCAACACGACCGGAGCCATCCTATAGATCCTTCCCTTTGGGGTTTTACTCCGTGGAATTATTTCTATGGCGTGGACAATCTCCCTTTCTACGACTCCTGTGGGCTCCTTGAACAGATCAGGGAACTTAGCAACGACGTGTTCTATCTCTGGGGGTGTTTTAACGGCCTCCCCGTTCTCAGAGACATACACTAGGTACATACCCTCCTCTTGGTTCTGTTTATAGTAATTGTAAAACGCTGATGCACACAAGCAGCCATAGGATTCTAGTAACCTACTAGCCTTATACTTGGCCAGCCTCACGGTCCTTCCATCAGGGAACTTATACTAGAACAGAGGATAAATAATAGAATAAATACACTGAGTATTTATCCAAGAATACCTTCATTCAAAGAGTCTGCTATTGAATCTCAACTTCTAATAAAAAATACATTATTCCATCCGTCAACAATTAAAAAAAAAAAAGATATTAAATAGAGATCAGATATATTACTATTTATAGAATGAATAATTATTCATTCTATACATAGTAATATATCTGATCTCTATTTAATATTTTTTTTTACCATATATAGCATAAAACTTCTCCTCCAATTTTGCGTTGTCGAGCTTGGCGATCCGTTATTATCCCTTGAGAAGTTGAAAGTATAACGACACCCATGCCTCCCATCACTTTAGGTATATCTTGATAGCTAGAGTAACTCCTTAAACCAGGTTTGCTAATCCGTCTTAAAGTAGTTGAGCACCTTCTTGTCCCAGTCAAACTGGGGCTTAGCAACCTCAAGGTAGTACATTCCTAACAACATATCGAATGGTAAGTCGTCGTTAACCAGGAACGAAATCTTATGATTAAGTTCCCCTCCTCCATAGGAGAAGGTACAAACTACATCCTTGACATAGTCTGTGACAACCATGCGCTCTTTATTGGCCAAAGTCGATGCTACCGGTCTACTAAGGTGTTGTACCCGGTCCTCTAGGCGCAACCTTTCCAAACAGTCGTGACTTATGTAATTCCGCGTAGAGCCGATGTCTATGAAGTCACCACATTTGTGGCCTCCTACAGCAACTTCCACGACGAAATGTTCCCCTCTAGGACCTCTGCTTAGTGCCACCCAAGATTCGCGAGGGTCCTT